TTTTTTTTTTTTTTTTAATGTAAATAAAAGGGTATATTCATCATTTCACAACTTTTTATTGAGAAATTGAATGAAAACGGATAGAAATGATGGTTTGCGCAATCAAATGTGTAATTAAGGGTGAAAAAGTCAAAAAAAAGAAAAGAAATATGTAGACGTTTTTCGTAATAATAGTGAACTGTATGGATATTATGTACTAATTACCTTTTTAATAATTTATTTGAGACTTATTTCCCTTTTCTTTAAAAAAAAAAAAAAAAAATTAGCACTATGGTTGCAATTATTTTTTTTTCTTTTTATTTTTGTTTTATTTAAATATAAGGGTATATTTGCCATTTCATAAATTTTAATTGAGAAAATAGATGAAAATGACATTTTGCACAGTGAAATGTGGAAATAAGGGTGAAAATGTCAAAAAATAAAAAGTATAAACATTTTTCACAATAGTAGTAAAATGTGAGAACGTTATGTGCTAATTCGCTTATTACCGTACATTCAATAATGTCAAAATGAAACATTGTCGCGCACATGTGCGCACACACCCACACATATCCGTGATCCGCTGTTGAAATATGTTTGAGGCTGCCGATGGGAAAACTATGGTTTAACGACGCTTTCATACTAAAAATGATGGTGGGATATACGACATCTTTTATATAACAAGTTCGATAATTATTTGGGTCGATTTTTTATCAATGGGCCAACTTGAACTTCGATTCGTTCTCGAAAGGAAAAAAATTATATGTAACCAAGAAAAACAAAGCAAATCATGAAATACTACATACTAATTAAGATATTATAAATACTGGGTGTTATATAACAAATTAAAACTACTGACTACTTTGTTGATATTGAATTTCTAAAATGGGTTGACTTACAATAACATCCCTAATAAAAGTCCTTAATAAACGAATACTATTTCATTGTGTTCCCAGAAACAGCTCGGTTCCACCCATTTTTTAGCTCGGTGAGTTTCGTCGTGATCAATAAACATCGTGATTATTGATTTGATTAAGGTGATGTTATCAGCTCTACTTTGACCAATCTCCCATAGACTCGTGGCATAGCTGACCTCAGCACCTTCTTGTTAACCAATCAAAAGTCAACAATTATGGTGACGCCAACGCCCATCCCAAACATCTTGATGAGCTACTAAGAGCTGACCTCACCTTCCAATGAAAAACCTTCATAGATAAATAATTTAGCACACTCAATAAGGAGGATCACGGTAGTTGACATCGAAATGCACTGTTGATAAATTGGCTATGACGGCCAACTTTCCAAAATTCAACTATAAATGGAAAAAAGTGATCCCTTTGATGGACCACACACTCTTACTTTCATCATTTGTATTATCATACTTAGGAATACCAAAAAATCAATAAATTCATCATTTACTATTCTAGCTATCACCCCATCCTAATACTCATTTAAGTTGACAAAATTGATTACTCGATTTTGAACGTCAACAATTTGGCGCTAGAAGGAGGGTCTTGTAAAAAAAAAAAGCCCACATCTTATGCGAAGTCTTTTTACCCTCCCTTTTTTTATTGCGCATCTTACTCAAGAGTTACCATGAGCAATAGTTTACCATCAATGAGTAATTTTCATACTAGCCGTCGCGGAAATAACATCCTCAATGACTATCAAAGAAATGACGAATTCACTAGGAGTGAGAACCTTCAGATCACCACCATGAAAAGAAGCCATAGAGTGTTTAAGTAATGTTGTCCAAAGGATGGAAAGAAAGCAAGCTACAACTTTCCCTTTAGTTGAAACCGAAGTGCAATCTCCTTTCAGGGAGAAGATCGGAGGACACTCCCACCAAGAGAAGTTTACACTTTTCAGGGGAAGAATCCTCTAAAATCAAAACGGACGAGTAAAAAGCCTTCCCCGACCAAACTGCGACAGGGAGTGTGTTTGACAAATTGGGAACATAACACTTGTTAACACCTAGAAGGGAAGGAAACTGCATCGCCCTGAAAGAGCTTATAATGAATCAGAAATAAGTTCGTTAAAAAAGCGTATAGCCGATATAGAGGCTAGGCACAAAGGCACAGTGGAAGAATATTTCATTAACTGTTACTCCCCCCTTCACAGAAGATGTGCTTGCAGAATCGCTGCCCGAAAAATAAAAAATGCCTCAGCTTACTAGCTATGATGGAGAGGGAGACCCTCTCAACCATTTGGATAAGTACATATCGTAGATGGAATTGCAAGGAATGATTGATGCTACTATGTGCATAGACAAAGTTCTGAGGTGGCCCTGAAGGTTACACCAGAGATCCATTAAAACATAGAAGGACCTAGCAACCGCCGTTTTAACTCAATTCATGGGTTCTAAAGCCAGGGCTACACCAAAAGAGCGCCTTGTAAGCATTAAGCAAGGGAAAAGAAAAAGTGAGTCTCAGAAAAGCTATCTCGGCAAATTCGATAAGCAATCCATGGAAATGGAAAAGATTTCGAACGATGTTGTCCTCATGGCTGTCCTATTCGACCTGCAACCGAGGACACAATTCTGGTGGTCCGTGGATTAAGAGAGACCCAAAACATATTATGAATACCTTAGCCGCATTGAGAAACACATCGGAGCCGAAGAGGAAACCTTTGATCAAAAGGAGGGAAAGACTAAACGCCATCATGCAACCCATCGTAAAGACAAAAAAAATGAAAAAAGGGTCTACCGCAGATCGTCGAAAGGACAAAAGAGATATGGAACGACCTTGTCCCTTATCCAAAGAGGTTTCATCAATACCATACTCTAGAGATGGTTGTAAATATGAAAAGCGTAAAATTTAAGGACTAAATTATAAATAGTGAGAAATATATATTTTAAACGGTAAGGTGACGAGTTAAGATTATTCAGTGATGAGACATATAATTTATTCTGATGGTTTTGATTTGAGAACATTTTAGTAACATTAAGATATCGAGGGATTTAAAGTAAAAATAAGTTTCTAGGTCAATAATATATTTAAGCTAAATGTGCGTTTATTCGAGGATAAAAAATTACTTTATCAATATTGAGCTCATTTCGAAAATCATATTGAATGTCACATTAACGACTCAAGAAAAAAATAATCTGAAAAACGAAGTTCGAGTTATAAAACATTAAAATAAACTACTTGATAAATAATATTAATTTACAAATTAGACCATATTACACTTCGGCCTAGGGCCGGCCTTGTGAAGGACAGTAACTTCAACCCATTTTCAATCTACTTACGAAGATAAAAACAATATATAATCCAACCCATGCTACTTTCTCTAGATGCAAAATGTTAGCTCTTGTTTCAGCACCTCTTTGAGAAAATTTTATACAAAAATAAATTATTCTTTTTAAAAAAAGTGTACTTAAAAGTAAAATATTTTTGAGTTTAGACTCAAACGGGCCTCCTAATAGCACATTATGCGTTTCTCGTGTAAAAACGTAGGCCTTTCCCCATTAGTTTGTAGAACATAAAAACTACAATAAAGCTAAATGTACAAACTTGGTTCACATTAAATTTCACATCCCCTCAC